TGTTTGTTCATCTATTCTTAATTATGCTGGTGTTACATGACATTTGCTCTCTCTTTGGTTCAATGCCGAAAGATGATGTTGTTTGTAATTTCATATATAACTAAACAACAAAAATATTCAAGGTTCGACTTCAGAATAAAATTACATCTTCATGTCTCAAAACAATATCACTCTTATCATTATGTTGTTGCAAAAACTTCTTAGTTTCAGTTTGGAAGTCTGATGAAGAACAGTTGGAAGAGGAGATCATAAACCAATTTGAAAATAGTAGAAATACGAATGGCCTACAAAAACAGGCGTATCTTTCATATTAGGTGTCTGATTAAGGACGAGTACAATCCGAAAGCATTTTATAATTCTCTACAAATTTGTCGGGGGGTGACGATCATACCTTTGGCCAACATCGTTAAACTTTAGAGGTCTGTTTAGCATTTTTCTATTTTGAATTTGTTTAAGCATATTTTCATCATTTTTGAAATTTTCTAGTTCTAATCAGAATTGTCTGCCGAATTAAAATTTCGTTTCGACGCTTTAAATGTGTTAAGGGTTAGCCCTTTTTGGAATTATAATATTTCTGTTTTATATTCTTTGGTGGATTTCAGTATATCTCACATTCGATCGAGCGAAATTCGAGTAACACCCATTTGTGTATCACGAACAATGTCCATTTTAATACTTTCATGGTTTGGTACGGCACCAAAATAATTAAACATTTATTTCAACAATACATTCAAAATTACAATTTATTACTATTCATTCATTTTGAAAGATCAAATGGAGGCTTAATTAATGCAGGTGCTTTTTTGAAAATTATTGAAGAATCATGTACAAAAAAGTGTCAATGTCGATCTTGGTCTAGAGCATGCATGTTTGACTGAGCTTAAGAATACATAACAACAATAATAATAATAATAACCATACAGGTAAGTTTTGTATGACGTTGGATTAGGAACCATAGATTAATATAAAATAAACAGTCGAGCTACACGATCCGCGTGGATGACCGTAAACACACACAAGGGTCGGGATTATTTTATTCGAACGGGACCCACGCATCCCATGTGAGGGCACGATCATCAGGGATTGTCATCCATGCTGGTCAAGTTCAATTTCCTGAACTAAAATATGTAATGAAGACCAAATATGTATTGAAAAAGTTTAGGATGCTTTTGTTCTCACACGTTAAACAATTACAATCATTCAAGGCCAAAAGCTTTTTTCGACAGTGATTTGAAATCAAATGAATTCATTGTTACGTGTACAGTTGTTATAGTACGTATTGCAATAGGAGCCTCCTCGTGAATCTATTATGCCTCCAACAACTTGCAAAATAGAAACAAGAGAAAAATACATAAATAGATTACTTTTAAGTATACAATTTCACTTCTAACAAACTTCTAAAAATATTTTAAAATCAGGTAATATATCATAGATTATATATTTCTAAGATACTATGAAAAACACTTAGAAAAATTAGTTAATTTAGGATATTTTCATCAACAATATTCAGTGTTTTAAAAAGCGCTCCCAAACAAAATGCCACGCCTTGAAGTAAGTGTGAAATTAAGCAATAATAGTTTATCGCTTAATACGCGCCTAGTCGTGCTTCATAAATTAGGTTTATGAGTTTTTTTTTTTTTCCTTTTCCTAGGCAAGCTTTATTCATTTTTTTTTCCTTTTTAATAAGCCTTCTATTTGACATTGGTTTCAAGTTTTTAAATAAATTTATCTATACAGAGGTCAAAAATGGCTTTATTCGTTAAAAAAATTGGATAAAATTTTAAGCTAATACGTTATCTACATTACGTAATTGTGATTTCTAGACTCATGCTCTTGTTTGGGCTCCACTAAAATCAAATTTTGAGGACAAAATATATTTTGGAATAGTGATTTTTTTAAGAATACGCAGTTAAAAAAGAAAGAAAAAGTTTTTGTATGTGTTATATTATTTTATTTGAGAATGTGTAGTTGAGAACAAAAGAGAGAAAAATATATTTTGAATAAAATGGAGTTCAAACTGAGGCTTATTGTTTTGTTGAAAACTTCCAAAGTATATACGAAGTTCCTATAAATCTATTAATTATGAATTGTTTAGTTAAAAGTTGAAACTATAAAAATAACTTAGCTTTTGCATTTCGAAAATTGTAAGGTTGTTGTAAAATAATGAGATTATTATTGATAATTATATAGTATTATCATGATACATGAATAAATTTTATAGAGTCTAGAAGACCTATTTCATTTCTATTGTAACTCTTATTTTGGATCTTATAAATATGAATCTTGATTCTCAATAAAACGCATACTTGAATTTTGACTCTGATAATCTCCTCTCTTTTTCTTTTTTCTCATAACCCGTTATCATGAAGATAACTTTTTTTTTTTTTTTTTTAATAATTCAAGGTTTAGTATTATCCAGGAAGGAAAAAAAATGGAAGACGGCATCATAAGCATATGAATGCTAATCTATAGCCGTATCTTTTATTTTCTATTTTATAAGCATATGTGATGTGCACCAAAATCAATTCTACAGTCTATAGCTGCACACTGCAAGTTGCAATTTGTAACCGCGCACCTCAAGCCAAGGAGAACGATTATTAATGATTACTTTCCACTATCTTCTATGTGAATGATTTTTTTATTGCTGAATAATGATTACTTTTTACTAATGAATGTGCTCATTCATCTACATGACTACATACATATTTACATGTGTATTAGAAAGAGTTAACAACTTTTATCATTTTTACATGTGATTTTCCTATTCAATGTTTAATTAATTATCTCATTTTTCTTATTTTTAATATGAGTATAATTATGAATTTAATATCCGTATATCTGTCTATTATAAAAATATTATTGCTCTTAAAGTAGTATGTCATTATTAATTTTCTAGTTAAATTTTACTTGCTCATAAAGAGCATGATTAAATAAAATTTAAAGTAAATTATGTTTTTACTCTTGAAAAGTAAATTCTTACATAATTTATTATTCTAAATAATAATATGTTATTGTTCTTGGCAAGCGTAGTATTATTTTAAATATTTTAGAAGAATACTTATTTATTGCTATTGAAGAAGTAATAATAAAATATAACGTGTTCTTGAAGTACTACATATTTCGAATAATATATATCTCATTGTGTTCCTGAAAAAATACAAATTAAGCAACTCAATATTGGGTTGTACTTTTTAAAGGAAACTAATTTCTATATTATTAATATTCAAGAAGAATATTAATTTATCGCTCTTGAAGAGCATGAATTATAATTTTCAATATTTCTATAAGAACATTGACATATTGCTATTGAAAAAGCAATAGTTAAATAAAATGTGCTCTCGAATTAGCACATTTTCGAAGAATATATCATTTTAAATTCATGTTTATCTCTGAAGGAAACACAAATAATTAATGTCATGAGGATATTAATTAGTTTGACTATTTGAAAGATATATGATTACATAAGTTTTAATCATATTTTTTAAAATTAAATCATTGAAATATATCTTACACTGAATCAGAAATTCAATGAAACTTTTATCCTATATGATGTTTGTTCTCTTTCATCAATTTTTTTCATTTACCATTACTAGCTAAAATAGGGACTAAATTCTCTTTATTTCTGAAAATTAATTAGGGTAATAAATCCTCCACGTTGACCATCTATATTTGTATCTAATAGATTTGATACATATACTAGATGATTGTATGGCGTTTACAAATTGCTTAACTTTTAAATTATAAGCATAATTTTCATATTATATAATCAAAGCAATGTCTTGTTAATGCTAGTGGGCATAAATCTCAACATTTTAATAAGTGTTAGTTGGAATGTTGATAAATGGTTCAACCCTATTATTTGTTAAATATCTCAGAATAAATGCGTATTTTGAACTCTTATCTCAAATTGGTGATATTTTATAACGCTAGAAATGATGATTGTAAATTTGATTGGACAATTCTCTTAGCATTGGGGGAGGGAATTAAGAAGTTAAAAATAATGTACAAATGCATCATTATCTAAACCCTCGCAAAAGATCACTTGAACCAAAGGTTCCTGACCAAAGAGATCAATATATCATGCACCAATTTTAAATGTTCCAATACGAATTGATGTTCTAGGAGAGCAATTTGATAGCATTATATTTGATATATTTATGTCGCACCTTAAACATGGTGGTGTTCAATTCTAATACAAAAATCTCCAAACAAAAATGATTCAGTAGCAAATATGGTCTCATCAAAGAGGTATATACTTTTGATGAGTATTTATACATAACAAACTATATAAGTCTCAGAAGAGGTTTTGATACTTAAAATAATGAAACTTATTATATGTCAATAAATTATATTATTATGGACAATAATTTGCACATAATTTATTGCATCATATAGGGAAGAATCAAAATAAATACGTTGAAATATATTGACCAAATAAAAGGGAAACAAACCTAAACTGAATTTACTAGAGAAACTTGGAGTTTTTGGATCTACATTCCGAACATTAAAAGGTGTGTACTTATACGAAATGAGAGTGGAAAAAGTAAAGTTGTAATATAAAATGTTCTACTCTTTACATAATAAATGTCATGAAAACTTGTATAAATAGATAAGTTATCATATGGTGAATGTAATCACAAGTTTCTATTTCATTAGGGTAAAATGTGTGAAATTTGGTGTGCATGTAATAAATGTGATTATCGACAATTTATCTTATATAGTTTTGATACTATCCTGGAAGGATTTAATATACCAAGAGTATAATTCAAGTGATATTGTAAAAGGGAGAGTAAATACGAGTTGTACTCGTTTTTTCTTGACCAAGATTTTATCCCATTTCATTTTCTTGATAATGATTTTAATAAGACAATTTTTATAGCGTATTCAAAAGAATAATATACTATTTTTCTTTTATTAGGATTTTTCCACAGCTTTTTCCTAAAAAGGTTTTGCAGAGAAATCCTGAACATTTTATTTGATTTACTTGTATACCATATTTAGATTGTTATTCCATAGCTAGCTGGATGTAATCATGGTAATTTCCAAGTCTCCTAGTTTAGGAGATTTTCTTCCTCTTCCCACTTGTATTATATATTGAAGGGTTGTAGAAACTTGATGTATATAAAAGAAATAAAAAAGAATTATTCTTGTCGTCAATAGCTTAATGTCGTCCGACTCCTCTTACGGTGAGGCAGAAATCAATTCTGCAATAAACTCAACTAGAAGAGAAAATACTTCTTTTCAACTAACGGTAGAGAAGTTGAATGGAAGAAATTTCAGGGAGTGGGTGCAATCAATTAAATTGGTAATCGGGGCAAAGGAAAGCTCGATTACCTGACTAGAGAAGCTAAAAAGCCAGCTGATTATGTTCTCTTGCAAAAGTAGAAATCTGAAAACTCGATGGTCATGGCGTGGTTGGTGAATTCGATGAATCCATCCATTGGAAAAATATATCTTTTCCTACCAACGGCAAAAGATATATTGGAAGTTGTCAAAGAAATGTATTCAAATTCAGAAAACTCATGCCATATCTTTGAAATCAAAACGAGGCTGTGGCAAACCAAATAAGAGGAGAGGGACATTATGGATTACTACTTGGAAATGAACTCTTTGTGGCAAGAACTCAATCTCAGTGGCGAAGAAGAATGAGAATGTGCTGGAGATAATGTCAAGTATAAGAAAAAGCTCGAAAACGAACGGGTTTATGAATTCCTTTCTGGCCTCAACCGCAAACTTGATGATGAAGAGGAAGAAATTTGGCTCGACGGCAACTGTCCTCAACACACGAAGTCTTCGCTGAAGTACAGAGAGAATAGAACTGTCGAAAAGTGAGATGAAGACTGGGACAGCCTGAGATACAGAGATATCTACGCTTCTGTCGACTGAAATTAGATTTGCTGGGTGTGAAAATGGACCATTATATAGGCGAAAGGTTGTGAATATATCACGTGGGCCAGAAAAGAATTAACTTGGGCCTGAAATGAATAAATTTTGGCCCTCTTTTGGACTTGGAAACTTTGGAGCTATTGGGCCTATCAAATTTGGGCCAGGGATAACAAATTTATCAAAGGGAGCAACAACAAAAGGGACAGCCTTTGTGCGAACACTGTCACAAATCGAGAATAAAGAAGATACCTGTTGGGACATACATGGGAAGTCCACTGATTGGAAACCAAGAAAAAGTATTAAAAATCGTGTCTATCAAGTTTCAGCCGATCAGACAGGGACATCTAAGGAAATGAAAAATGGAGAATTCAACAGTTAGCAATTAGAACAACTCTACCAGATTTTCTTCTAGTCTCCAAACTTCGAGTCATTCTTCTGCACACAATCCTTAAAGCTCATTAGCCCACAAAGGTAGTTTTCTGAAATCCTTAAATATCTCCTCAAAATGTAAAACTCCTTGGATAATCGACTCAGGTACTTCCGATCACATGACGGACTCTTGCCATTTGTTCTCTTATACTCACCCGATGCTAGCAATATCAAAGTTAAGATAACAGATGGATCACTCTCATCTGTTGTAGGAAAAGGGAGTATTCGTATCTCCGAGTCTATAACTTTAAAAACTATTCTTCATGTCCTAAACTTGTCTTGTAATCTATTATCTATCAGTCAATTAACTAAAATTCCAATTGTTCTAGCTAAATTTTCTCAATCTCACTGTGTATTTCAGGACCTATCATCGGGGACTACGATTGGCAGTGCTAAAGAATGTGATGGACTTTACTATTTTGACAAGGCTGATGTGAGTACACAATGTCAACCTGCAATTTATAATTCTATGTTTACCTATAGGGATAGTGATATTCTATTGTGGCATTGTAGAATGAGCCATCCCAATTTTCAATACTTACAACGTATGCTTCCTTCTTTATTTTCGAATAAAACATCTATTTACTTTTAATGTGAAATTGATGAACACCAATGCACAACTTATCCAAAATCCACGTACAAACCATCGAAACCTTTTACTATGAGTCACAGTGATCTATGGGGCCCTTCACGTGTCTCTAATCGAACTCATGCTAAATGGTTTGTTACATTCATAGATGATCATACCCGAGTCTGTTGGATTTATCCGCTAAAAGAAAAGAATGAAGTTCATTCGATATTTATTAAATTTCACATAATGATCCAAACACAATTCTAAACACAAACTCAAATTTTACGCACCGATAATGGTACTGAATACTTCAATACCACTCTACAAGACTATCTCCAAATGCATGGGATAATCTACCAAAGTTCATATGTTGACACCTCACAACAAAATGGAATAGCCATAGACACCTTGATGTTGCTCATACCTTACTATTCATTACAAATATGCCAAAAATGTTCTAATGAATCACCCATTCAAGGATTTCAAAAGTTCATCCCCAATTCTCGATTGAATCCAAATGTCTCTCTTAAAGTGTTTGGCTGTACTGCATTTGTTCACATTCATCCTCATCATCAAAGTAAACTAGATCCTCGCACAATCAAATGTATTCTCATTGGATATGCACCCACCCAAAAGGGTTATAAATGCTTTGATCCAATCTCAAAGAAACATTTGTTAGCCTTGATGTTATATTCTTTGAAAAAACGCCTTATTTCTAGAAAACCTCTCTTCAGGGGGAGAATTTGAGTGAAGATCGATTCCTAAATCAGTTCCTAAACTTTGATATCTCTTTCAAGCCTGCCAAAATCATTGAACCTATCATACCACCCTGTTCTAACATGCCATGCATAGAGGATAACTTGAACTCAAGAGGAGATATAGAAAAACAAAATGACAGGAGGATGTTAGTTTACTCGAAAAAGCTAAAAGCAAAGGAAAATCTCACATCTGAAGCACCAAGAGAATTGGAACCGATGATAGCTCCAGATGTTCATAAGTCTTATGAGCCGAAACATTCAAATATAGATCTACTTATTGTACTCAAAAAACAAACTCGGTCATGTACTCTCTATCCTATCTCAAAATTTATATCTTATAAAGCTCTATCTACTGATTTTCATACTTTACATCTAACCTTGACAGTACAAAGATTCCTAGGAGTATTCAAGAAGCATTGAAAGCTCCAAAATGGAGGAAAGCACCCTATCTCAAAATTTATATCTTATAAAGCTATATCTGCAAATTTTCGTACTTTTTCATCTAACCTTGACGGTACAGAGATTCCTAGGAGTATTCAAGAAACATTGAAAGTTCCAAAATGGATGGAAGGGTGATGGATGAAATGCAGGCCTTAGAAAAAAATAATACATGGGAGGTTATAGATTTTCCCAAAGGAAAGAAGTCTGTAGGATGCAAATGTATTTTTAATATGAAGTACAAAGCCAATGGTTCAATAGAATGACATAAAGCTCGTCTTGTTGCAAAAGGATATACGTAAACATATGGCATCGACTACACAGAAGCGTTGCACCAGTGGCAAAGTTAAATACAATTCGGGTTCTATTATCTTTGACAGTTAATGTGGACTGGACCCTTCAACAACTGGACATAAAAAATGCATTTCTCAATGGGGAACTGGAAGAAGAAGTCTTCATGACCTTACCACAAGGATTTTGTAAAAGTGAAGAGGAAAATCTAGTCTGTAAACTCAATAAATCATTGTATAGTCTCAAACAGTCACCTAGAACATGGTTCGATAGATTTGCAAAGGTGTTGAAAGGCTAAGGTTATCAACAAGGGCAATTAAATCATATTATGTTCTTCCGCCAAGGAAAAAATGGGAAAAAGACCATTCTGATTGTATATGTAGATGATACAATCTTAACTGGAGATAACACAATTGAGATGGAAAGACTCAAGAGAAGTCTAGCAACTTAATTTGAAGTGAAAGTCTTGGGACAAATGAGGTACTTCTTAAGAATGGAAGTAGCAGAAAAGCTATTAGTATGTCGTAACGAAAAACATATCCATGATCTGTTGATTGAAATAGGCATGCTTGGATGCAAGGCATGCGACAAACCTATTGATACGGGAAAAAGAATAGAGAATAGTGGAAACCCAGTTGAAACGGATAGATATCAACGACTAGTTGAAAAATTAATCTACCTATCTCATACCAGACTAGACATTGCTTTCGCAGTGAGCATGGTAAGCCAACATATGCATTCACCAAAAGAAATTCATATGGAAGCAGTATACAGAATCCTCAGATATCTAAAAGGCTCATCTAGGAAGGGGTTATTCTTCAACAAGAGTGAGAATAGGATAGTGGAGGTATTCACCGATGCAGATTGGGCAAGCTCAACAGATGATAGAAGATCAACTACGGGTTACTATACTTTCGCATGGGAAAACTTGGTAACAGATAATAGAATATTAATATTTCTCTTAATCCGATTCAACATGATCGAACCAAACATGTTGAAGTAGACAGATACTTCATTAAAGAAAAGGTTGACAGTGAAGTTATTTGCTTGACCTATGTTCCTACAAAAGAGCAAACTTGGTAACAGATAATAGAATATCAATATTTCTCTTAATCCGATTCAACATGATCGAACCAAACATGTTGAAGTAGACAGATACTTCATCAAAGAAAAGGTTGACGGTGAAGCTATTTGCTTGACTAATGTTCCTACAAAAGATCAAATTGCAGATATGTTTACTAAATGACTACCATGACAAAGTTTTGAAGATCTCATTTGCAAGTTGGATATGGTTAATATTTAATTTGATTTCCAAGTCTCCTAGTTTAGGAGATTTTCTTCCTTCTTCTTTTTTTTTTCCCCTTTTCCCACTTGTATTATAAATTGAAGAGTTGTAGAAGCTTGATGTATACACAAGAAACAAAAAAGAATCATTCTTGTTTTCAGGTTTTAATGGGGTATAGGGCTTGTTCGGTAGTGATTATAAGAATTGACTTTTTGATCGTTAGAAAGAAAAGTGGGTCCCACTTGTGAGAAAAGAAGTCAAAAATGACGACTGACTTAGGGAAGTAATGATCAAAAAATTGATTTTTTGGAGGGTGAAAAATCAGAACCAAACATGCACACATTCTTTGTGTCTTTAACCTATAAGGTATTTACCCTCAAAAAGTATACTCTTATATGTATGAGACTCTCGAAGACATCAACAAGAGTTATTTTTCGAATCATCATGTTACTTACTAATTAAAGGATGATAAATATCTCGTATGAAGACGGTGTTGCCTGAAGACCGTTCAAGACAACATGAGACATACTTCACCAAAAATTGTAACATTGAAGACATTGATATATGAGACATAAATAGTTTGATATAATAATTGAAATAAGGGGGAGTAGCTGTACTCTTTTTCCTTCGATCAAGTTTTGTCTCACTATATTTTCTTGACAAGGCTTTAACGAAGCAACATTTTATTATTCAGAGTTATTTGTATTTTTTTCATTTGTTGGCATTTTTGTCCTATCGAATATTTTTGCCAAACAAGGTTTCAATGAGATAGTTGTAGAAATAATCATCAAAGGGAATATTGTAAAATAATGAGATAATTATTAATGATTATTTAATATTATTATAATATATAGATAAGTCTTATCTAATCTAAAAGATCTATTTCATTCCAATTGTAACTCCTCTTTTGAACCGTATAAATATGGGTCTTGATTTTCAATAAAATACAAACTCGAATTTTGAGTCTTATATTCTCTTCTATTTTTCCCTCTTTTCATAACAATAATCACTAATTGTAAAAACTATTAAGTAGATATAATATTTTATAATTTTGGACATTTGGTATGTATTATTTTATAATTATTAAATGATTTTCAAAATGATTAAAAATTTAAAATAATATTAAAAATAAGAAAATGCTTTTTATGTCTAGGCTTCGCCTAGACCCGTAAATCTTGAAACTTGACCTCCCGTCTAACCACACTTTACATTTTTTTTAATACTAACTATATCATAACTTAATATATATCATTCAAATATTGTTTCTCTAACATCACACTTTTTTTCTCTCGGGCTTCACGATCTCTCTCTTACACCTTTCACTTTTCTTTCTAATATATATCATTTAATAATTTTTCTCTTGCCTTCTACTTTCTCTTGTTTATACATTACACTTTCTCTCTCTATCATTCTAAAGTCATTATTTTTTTTTTTCAAATTAAGTAGTCACATTTTGTGACATCTGATAAATAATCTATAATTTAATTAAACATATTAATTCACAATAACAGATACTTTGTGGTCAAGACTGCATGTCAATAACAAACCACAAAGATATAATTATATGTCACAATTACAATTTAGTCACAAGATACATGTTATTACAATTTATCAAATTAATTTTTCAAAAAATCATATATCGATCACAAATTATCGAATTAATTGGTCGCGGCTTATAACCATAAATCATTCCATTAATTTGTTGCAACTTATTTAATTGTGATATATGTATATGATAAATAAATGTAAGTGATAAATTTTATGCTATTTTTTTAAAGATTTTTATATTTTTAATTTTTATTAATTTCTTGTGTTTGCACATTGATAATTCTATTTTAAAGAATTTCATAAATATAATTTTTATTTTTCTCCAATCAACTAGTTAACCTTACTCAATTTGGGCCCTCATCAAAGCGGGGCCTTAGACTATCACCTATCCTACCAATAGTTAAGGCGCCACTGAGCATGGTGCATATAGAAGCCAAAGGAAAAGGCTTCTGGACATGATGGTGGCTATGTTATACCAAATTCTCTAGGCTTTCCCCAAAATCATGTAACAGTGTGATATTGTATTATATTTGAAAATTCCGATCTATGCATATCCATGTTTTCCAGACAATGTGAGATGCTGTCCATGTCCAGAAGTTGCCTTGTTAAAGGTACAAATTTCAGCACCCAACAACGGATGTGTCTGTGTCTATGATTCCATCTATTCACCTCATGACCCTGGTGGCTTAGGCAAGTCTAGGTCATGGTTCACATATAAAGAACTAGTCGAGCACAGAACTATTAGGCAAAGAAGGATTTGTTTCTGTGTACAAAGCAAGCCTAGCAGATGGTAAAGAGGTAGCAGTGAAGCAGCTAAAGATTGGTGGCCAGCAGGGGGAACGAGAATCCAGATCTGAAGTTGAGATAATTAGTCATATACACTATAGACACTTGGTTTCACTTGCATTTTCGAGAACAGAAGGTTACTTTACTTCCATCTTCACAGTGAAGGTACTATTTACTATTTAACGTAGAGTTTGTAATAAAATTTTAATTAATACTGACTATTTCTCCTTAATGTTTTGGGTGAAAGTTGGCCTGTTTTGACTGTGAATTGTTGCATTTGTTAGCTGGAGAAAAGTGATCTTATGTTGAACTTTTGAACAACTGAAATAAATTAAAGCAAATGTAAATCGTAAGAGCTGTGTTATGTTTAAAAAAAGGGGGAAGGGAATTCATTTCGCATTTAATTGGTCTCAACTCTCCCGAAGAGTTGCTAAAGAAAACTTGAGGAAGTCGTATTGCCGTCTTAGAAGTATGCCAATGTAACAGTAAATGAGAGGGATGAGTGACTTTTAATAAATGCGATGACTCTGGCTGAAAGCATGAAAAGATGAAGAACACAAACCTAACTCGTTGATTTGGGAAGAATACCTAGACGAACTGATAGATTTTGAAAAGTACACTGTTTTGTTATTCATATGCAGTTTACAGGTATTTGGCTTCATCAGGGGACTCGAGAAAATGGGAACGTCAGAGACCAAAATCTGTGGTTACTCGTGGTAGATGTAATTCTTGAGTAATTGGTGATAATTTGGATATAAAATTACAGGCATTTGATGAGTTATTAAATTACTCCTTTTGAATGACTAGTCATGCCCGTATTATCCATAGGGCCAGTAAGTTTTTCAAGTGGATCGGTTCTTTGCTTTTGCTTTTCTTCTTCGTTTTTCTCTAAATGAGAAATTTGAACAACAACTATGGCCTGAGGGAAAAACTGAGGAAAATTTAGGATGGAAACCCATTCGGGCTGATTTGAGGAAGAAATCAATTCGGGTTTTGCTTCTAAGATTGGGGAAATTGACATTTTGATTTGAGATGGGAAATGCGTTTCTTCCAATATGAAGGTAAATGCTATTAATTGGAAAGTGTTTTGTCCAAGTTGACAATTTTAATGGCGTCAGTATTCGCGTAGGACTTTCATCCGCCACGTGGACATTTTAGCATAGTTGAATGGATGGAATTGAAATGGATGACGGATGGTGGCTGAGCAATTTTTTTTTGTAAGTGTATGAGCAGTCGGTAATCATTTATTTTTGAGTGAGCAAGTAATAACCAGAGACAAATGTTGATGATTAGTTATTTAATTAACTCATTTGATTCAGATATTCTCTTTTGGGGTTGTGCTTTTGAAGCTTATTACACAATGCAAGCCTGTGGATACATCTCCACCCCTAGGGGACAAGAGCCTAGTTGAGTGGATAATCTCATACATACGAGTTTTGTTTGTATTTTCACTTAGAAGACTAAGATCTAATTATATAGCTACTTCTATACAATAGCATTTTTCCATTTATCGGAGCTATCTTCTTGGGGATTCATATGAGTTTAGGCATCAAGAAGTAGGAGTTTGTTCGCATCGACAATTGTCACGAAAAATCTAATTATACTTATTTTTAATATAACTAGAATTGTATACGATTTTATTTTTTTCACATATGATAATTTTGAGACTCGAGCCCGGTTTATGCTCCCATATTTTTCAAAATTTAAATCGCGTTTTCAAAACACATTTTTATAAGTTGGCAACTCACGGGATGATGACACTTGGCCTATTATCTACCATTGGATGGAGGGTTTGATCTTTGGTTATATATATACAAAAGACAATTCATTGGCCTTAGAATTTTTCATTTGCTGGCTTTTCGTGTGAGGGTGTTCAAGAGAGTTCCATCTTTTCTCTGAGCTAGGGTTTCTAATTTCCCTCATTTCTGTTGAACATCTCATTCGAAATGGTGGTTTTGATGTTTAACAATAGAATACTTGTTTTTTCTTGAGTGAAAATTCTATAAGAACGAGAGGGTTCTCATGTTTTGAGATCTGAGAAAGTGGTATGTTGATTCTTGAGTGATCTACGACAGATATGTTGATTTCTTGAAGAGATAAGTCTCTTCCTTTGTGTATTCTTGCATTAGATGAACATTGTAACCTTTGTTGCCAGTTTTTAAGGCAATTAGTGCAACCGAGCAATATCCATTCTTGATTGGATGCTCAACAAGGGACTAGGTGTTTGAAAGAACACTGAACCTCTGGGCTCCGGCCAAACAATTCTATTGTGTTCATTTTATTTTTCTGCAAGTTTATTATCTGTTTTATTGTTGATCAACTGTATCTTGCAATTAATCGTGTAGGTTAGGCCCCTTTTCAGTGGTATCAAAGTTTTAAACTGC